ATAAGTTCACAGAAGCCAGGTTAAGAACCCCTGATTGAAAAGTGTCAGAGTTGAGGGTGCTATAAGGCTAAAAGGGAAAGGAGGGACAGATATGCACCTAAGGTTGTGTTGGTTGTAGGGGCACAGAGTTGCCAGATATTTCCTGGGTCTGTTTAAGAGGATCAGGAAGTTGCCTCAGTGCTCGTTTTTATTTTAGAAGTTGGAAACCAGAATGGATATAATGAAGGAAGGAGCCTAGAACACTCTCTCTCTTCTTTTCCACCTCCTGGCTTCCCTGGCTTTCTTTAAGGCCCATCTAAAATTTTATCTTCTCTAGGAAGCCTTTCCCAATCTCTCAGTCCTATTTATCCTGTATATAACTTTTTTGTACATATTTGTTTGCTTGGCCCCACCCCCACCCCCATTAGATTGTGAACTCCTTGAGTTCTGTCTTGAGGGCTGTCTTTTGCTTCTTTTTGCATCCCCAGCACTTAGCCCAGTGCCTGGCACATAAATACCCAGCCCAGGTGTTTAATAAATATTTATCGGTCGATTAGATGGTGAGCAATTGTTTTGAGTGCTTGGAAGTTAGTGAGTTGGTGCAGAAGAATCATTGATTATATAGGAGTAAATCAATATGTAAGACAGAAATGTTTTATCATGGAAGCTGAGAAAGAGAAATTAGAAGGAAGATGCTGTCAGTGTATATGGAAGAAAGAAAGTAAAGAGGACACTATGTGGACATGTAAGGAGTAAAGAAAGAATAAGGACTATAGCAAGCCCAGTCTGTGCTTGAAACTCTGACCTGGGAGGGGCCGTGAGTGGGATACAGTGGCCTGCTGGACCCCAGTGACACCTGTTGCCATCCAACAACTAAATCAATAGGAGAAAAGTGATGATGGGAGGCTATTAATCAGAAATGGTCTCGTGTCACTTTTCAGAATTGGGCATCTTGGGGGGGGGCAGCTAGGGGTGCAGTGTATAGAGCACCGGCCCTGAAGTCAGGAGGACCTGAGTTCAAATCCGGCCTCAGACCAAACACTTGACACTTACTAGCTGTGTGACCCTGGGCAAGTCACTTACCCCCAATTGCCTCAAATAAATAAATTGAATGAATGAATGAATGAATGAATGAATGAAAGAATTGGGCATCTTGGAGCTCCTCCTAATTCCTCTTGGGAAGAGATTCCCAAAGGAATGGGGGAATTGACATTAGGTGACTCAGAACATTCATAAATGCCAAGAACATTTTCATGAGTTAAAGAACATACAACGTCAGGAGATTGGTGTCATTGTTGTTTGTTGTTGTTGTTGCTGTTGATCCCTCATTCTGGAAGAGGTCCAATGACCTCATGAGGGTGACATCTTGACTTGCCAAGAATTGAATGACTCTGGGCATAACGGACAAGCCTTGGGTTTGGAATCAGAAAGGCCTGAATTCCTATCCTGCCTCATATTCTTACTCATTTGTGACCCTGAGCAACTTAACTTACTTCCTCATTTAATTTCTCTCGACCTCGGTTTCCTCATCTGTAAAATGGGGATAATAATAACACCTACCTCCCAGGATTGTTACAAGGATCAAACGAGTTAATAAATGTAAAACACCTTGTAAGCCTTAAAGCTATTATTCTAATTGACGACTCAAGAGAAGCAAAGAGCCCTGAAGAACGTCCTGCTAGCATTTTTACAGCACTTTTAAGGTCTGTAAAACATTTTACAAAAATTATCTCATTTAATCTTCATAACAACTCTGTAAGGTAGGTGCTATTGTTGTCCCCATTTTACTAAAAGTTGAAGAAATGTAGCTGAAAGGTAAGTAACTTGCCTGGGGTCACAAATCCAACACCCTATCCACTGCACCCCCTTAGCTGCTTGTATAAGGGGGCAAGTAAGGAAAACCAAACAGACCAGAACTACTTTCTAGATCTGTAGTTGGGCTGAGGAAAGATTTTTTTTCCCCCAAGGCCACTATAACTTCCCTAGGAACTCACCCTATGACGCCACCAGTGATTTTCCCTCTCTCCTACCTTCCCCCAACTCCCAGATTCCTAAAACCCCAAGCAACAGAAATTCCACCTTACAGAGGCTTTTCTCTCCACTCTCAAGACTCTTGAAAAAAAAGGGGGGCAGGGAGGGAGATTCCTTCCAGTCTCCTGTAATCATTCCCTTAAGAGCTCCTCCTGCTCCAACCCCATTCCTAGAACAACTTGCTTTCACCTCTACCTCACTTTCCTGGAAAATCCTATATAACCAGAGCTTTTGAGGATCCTTACTACCACCACTGTTCCTATAATCCAAATGCAGACCTCCACACAGGGGATCACCCTTTCCCAAAAAATCTCTTCTTTCTTCTTCCACACTCAAGTCACAACTGCCCACCCCACCCATTATTCAAGAAGACTGGGAAACTTCACCTCTTCCACAAAATTTCCAAGGCTGATGAGAAGACAGGAACTCAATCCCGAAGCCCTGTTATCAGTAAAATCAGCTTAAAATACTGGGTCCATCCCAAGAATTGACATGCTTTTTCTCCAATATGAGGTTGCTATGTAACTCCGGGGACCCACCTCCAACAGATTGCCTCTATAATAACAGGTGATAGGCCACCTGGAGTAACAGGATGCCCAGAAGAGATGTTTTAATACTTGAGAAAATATATGTGATGCAAGGTGTAAATGTAGGCAGCATTTGTAATATAAAGAGAACTAGATTATTCGGAACAAGAGAACCTAGATTTGAAACTAAACCTGCTTCTTAGCTACCAGTGTGATTTTGGGAAAGTTACTTAACCTCTCTCTAGGGCCTCATCTGTAAAGTGGGCAGATTTGACCAGATTATCTCCATCCACTTCTAAATTTTATAAGCTAACATAGAGTAATAACACATCCCGAGTCTGACTGTCAAAGAGGAATGCCTCCCCCTTGTGGAATCTCTGTGTAGTGGCACAAAAGTAACTGGACCCTGTCTTTTAGGGGAAACAGGACTAGAAAGAATGTAAGGAAAAAAGTAAATAGAGTCCCCTCTGCATCACATTTCCCTACCAAAGGCTATTTAAAAGTTTGGGTATTACATCGTATATAAGGGAATGGAAAGTATTTCTGGGAACAATTTATACAATAACAACAATATTATAAAAGATAATCAACTTTCAAAGTCTTATGAACTCTGATCAGCAAAAGACTAGTCTAAAGGACTCAAGATGAACCAACCACCCACCACCTGATAGAGAAACGATTGACTCAGAATTGAGACTTTTTTTAACATGACCATTTTGGAATTTGTCTTGCTTACCTATATGTTTGTAACAGGAGATTTTGTTTTTCTTGCTTTCTCAATGGGGTGGAGAAATGGTAGGTGGGAAAGAAAGAAAGCAGATCTTCATTTTAGAAAAAAAAATAAATTAAACTTTTTTAAAAGGTAGTTAGCTGCAAAAGTCAGAGGAAAGGAAAGGCAAGAAATATACTTAATGAACCTGTGGCAAGGACAAAAGAATGCTCTGAAGAATTCTCAAGTGTAATGAGGTACACTGCAGGAAAGAGAAGAGTACAACAGATAAGTCCCATGAGTTTGAAATGTAAGAGAGGCTAGGGGACAGGCTTCTGTGATAGCAATGGAAAGATGGCACACACAATCCTCTGGGACTGAAAGAAACCAGAAAACAGCATCAGAAGTCAAATAAGTTGGTCAATGAACAGTGGTCCGTAGAAGATGCTGAATTGTTCTCTTAAAAACCTAAGCTGGTAATGAATAGAGCAGCAGGTGCTCATGGGTATTTATATTAGATGGAAATAGGACTGGTGAGGTTATCATGAAGATGAAACTTAACTGATGTTCCCTTAATCTCCAAATAGCCACTAGTCTTGACTCACTCTCCTGGTAATAAAGTGAAAAAGGCAGAGGGAAGGAAAGGATCCTGTGTGGAGGGAAAGACTTGAGGTAAAAGCTGGCATTAAGCACTTTTCTTCATAGGAAAAAATTATCCCTTTTCTAACTAGCTGGTGACAGCATTGAGGATGACAAAGGGGCCCGAAGGCTAGACTACTATTTCTTCACTATCCGTAGGAAGGAATTTATCTTGTCCTTTCAACAACTGCACAACAAGCAAATCTTAGGTTGAAGTTTACCCTTTTGCAATGAAGAGGTTTCTAGGGGTGATGTTTACAGCTAAGACAAGTCACTTTACTTCCCTGTGCCTCAGTTTCCTTATCTATAAAATGAAGAGACGGGCTAGATGAGAGTTTCTTAAACTATAGTGTCATGGATCCCTTTGGCAATCTGGTGAAACCTATGGACCCTTTCTCAGAACAATATTTTAATTTTTAGAACAATATTTTTAAATTCATAAAATATATAGGATTACAAAGAAAGCCAATTACATTGAAATACAGCTACCAAAATATTAAAAAAAAATTCACAGACCCCAGGTTAAGAACCTCTGGAATAGATGATCTCAAAAAATTTCTTCCAGTTCTAAATCCTATGACAAAATCATCACTCTGAAAGCCCCCATGGTCAGTTGACACCCTAAACCAAGTATAGCATGTAGATTTCGTCCTAGTCTAAAAGTAGATACAAAGTCTCTGTTCTTGGGGAATCCTTGATCTGGTGGGAAAAAAATAGGATCCCTGTTCTCAGGGAACTCCTAATCTGTGGGTAAGGAGGACATAGGCTCTCCTCTGGAAGTCCTCAGTTAGATGGGGGTGAAAATATCTCTGGCCTCAGAGCTGAGTAAGAGTACAGTGGAATGGATAATCCCATAACTGAAAATATTCAAGTAGATACTCGACTGACTGCCTATCAAAGATGTTGTTTGGGGAATTCCTATACTAAGTGGGAGGTTGAATTGCCTGAAATCTAGGGTCCCTTCTAACACTGATTTCTGGGCTGGGTGGAAGATATGTAGGAAAGCTTTTTGAAGGCTATAAGTACCTGAAGTTTCAAGCTGAGAATATTGTCAGCTTCTCCTCCTCTGTCCCCCTCGTCCCTCCCCTAAGCCCCATTCCCTGCCCCATCCATACCACGTTGAGCTGTAGCTCCAGCGTCAGGACCCCTCCACTGTCCAGCACAGGCAGGAGCTTCAAGGCAAACACAGCTGGACGTCCTGGTGGAAGGGCAACACTGGGGCCAAAGAAGATGTAGAAGTGGACAGAGAAGGTATCCAGCTCATTCCGCAGTGTTGGACGCACTGGCCAGCAGTGGTCAGGGGGAGATGTGCTCTCAGACCCTTCCTCAGGGGCTCCCAAGGGTGGTATCTCCTGAGGGGGCAGCTGAGTGCCCAGAGACTGGGGCATGTTCATGGCTGCTCCAGGTACCAGGGCTCGAGACAGGCCATGTTGGGGGCACTCTGGGAAGAAGCTTATAGCTCATTGATAGTCCCATCAGTATCACAATCCAGACCTCAAATTTCCCACCTTTGCCAAATCCCCACAGCTATTAAACAGGACCTCCCTCCATCCCCACCTAGGATAACCTTCTAAGGGACCAGGGTTCCGGGCACATTGAGCTGGGAGTATTCTATAGGGGGAGCTCATGGCTTATCCACAGCCTCTATGACCTTCAAATAATATCCTTAGGGTCTTGACCCAGACTGAGATGAAGTGGAGGTATCACTATGAGAAAGTTCAAAGAGTGTAACGGTGAGGTAAGATCACAGCAGGAATCATACATGGAGGAAAGGAAAAGTATTCTGGGGTAAGGTGCCAGAAAGGGACCTAGGGTATTGTGGCTGACTTTACAGCTACATGCATAGCTGCAATGCTATGGTTCTGGAAAGATGAGAGGTTATAATAGGGAATATCCTGGTTGTTTCCAACAAGGGATCTCAGGTAGAGTCCTGCTGGGTTTCTTTATAGCTACAGGAAAGTTGAAATTGGATGGTACAAGAGTAGGACACAGGATGTCCCTATGAGGGGGTCCCCAAGGAAAAGTATAGAAACCCAGGGGCCCTTGTGCTGACCTTGTAGCTGCACACACAGCTGGAATCGAAGGGTTCCAGGAAGACCCCTTGGTGCCTCCACACGTACATAGACCCAGTCCCCCCAAGGAGGCAGGGCCAGCTCCAGCCCACATGGCGCCAAATCCCCACAGGCCACAGAGGTTGAGTTGTGCAGGGGAGGAGCCTTGGGGCGCAGATGCATCATCAGAGGGCAGCCAGAGCCCCCACGAGATCCCACACACTTCAGCTGGACAGAGACCCTGGAGGTGAAACTGGGGACAAAGACCCTGGAGGGGGGGATACAAGGATAAGGGGTGACAAATTGGATGGTGGGAGTGAGGAATTCCAGGTGACAAAGATGAGAGGAGAGATACTAAAGATTATAGTGGTGAGGAGAGATGTCAGTGAGGTGGGATATGGGGGATGAATGGGGCATATAAGGAAGCTTGGGTGAGGAAAGAACTAGATGTCAAAGGAAAGAAAAATGGTCAACAGTGGACAACATAATGAAAGTAACACTTCTCTTGGTAGGAACTATGTCCATGTTAAAGACACTTAAAATTTTTTTGCCATAAAATCCCAAGGAGCTGATTCAAAAGATACTATTCCTGAAAGTGATCTAAACTGCTAGAGGGAGTAGGAGCCAATAACAGTACATAAGCAGGGAGCACAGGTCAGTCATTAGGTTCAAGACCTGTCAGCTATGTTTTGCCAATGTAACCAAGGGATGGAGTTAGTACTCTGTAACAGAAATTCAGTGAATGGATCCCAGGATTCCCAGGGCTTTTTGAAGAGGAAAGAAGGAGAGAAACTTCTCACTGGCAGGATACAGGGAGATAAGCTTCTCATTGGCAACAAGGTGGTGAAAAGTTAACCTCAATACACAAGGGAGGCTATATACCCCAAGCTCCAGACCTGGGATAGAATAAGAATCCACCTAGGGAGACATATCTGCTGATTCAAGAACAGTGCAGGTCAGCACAACAGTTCATAAGCCTACACTTACTCATACCTATTTGGTTTCATTCAGTTTGCCCTGCTGTAACAATAGACAATGGAGCTGGGCATACACACTCTGGCACCGTGGAAATAGTCATATACTCAGGCTCAGCACTGAAAGATTTGTACTTTGGGATGATGTAGCAAACCCTTACTCATCCCTACAACTGGGGGTGGGAGGGGATGTGCCAAAGAGAACTAGTGACCTAGGCAAAAAGAGTGGTGGGCAATAAAAACCACCTCTTTTGAGGGGGGGAGTTGTGGAAACATAGCTAATACCAGTTCATGGAGACTGTCAATCAGTCTTCGTAATGTTCCTTGGCTTGGCACTAGAGAGTGGAGAATCATTCAATACCAATGGGGCCAAGGAGAGAGAGAAGCTTCTCACCTCCCCCTGAACATAGTATGGGTAGCCCAGATGGGCTGGAGGGCCAGGAATAGAGGGTGACAGAGCCCCAGGAAAAAAAAGAAATATATGGAACTGACCTCAGGTGGTAGTATCTCCCCTTCCCAATTGAAGGTTTCTGCTACATGGATGGCAGGAGTTAGAGAGAACAAAAAGACCATCTCTTGATGAGGATTTAGGTTAAGATGAAGCAAGGGTAACAACCTGCTTGGTAGGTATCTGTTACAACCATGAGGCTTGTATACAACTAGTTAATATCTTGTTGCATTCAAGATACTCAGTAGGAGTGCAGATTAAATAAAATGCAGTGTAATCAAATTCTATGGCAGTATTTAAGAACATAGAGACTCAGAGAAATGAACCCATAAAGACAAGTAAGGCTTTCTCTGAGTCTCTACTGATCTTCAATCTCCATCTGGTTGACCACAGGCATGGCTGAAAGAAGTATGAATATGTTGAAGAAATGCAACCCGTACGATCTCAGCTCACCTATTCCCCCTCTCATCCTCTTAGTCCTCCAAGAAGGTGTTAGGGAGCAACAAAAAGGACAATAGAGAGGTAAGATAGGCACTAAAGGAAGGGCAGCTAGGTGGTGCAGTGGATACAGCACCAGCCCTGGAGTCAGGAGGACCTAAGTTCAAATCTGGCCTCAGATGTGTGACCCTGGGCAAGTCATTTAACCCCATTGCCTAGCCAAAAAAAAAAAAGTAGATCTATAATGGTACAAACAAATGGAAGAGAGAAAAAGAGGAGGCATTTTATCTATTCCACCCCTAAATGGAATAATGATCCTGAAATCCTTTTGGTCCCCTTTCTTCTCTTCTTCCCCCTTACCCTGTGGTGACATCACAAAATGGCACAGGCTCCAAGTGGTAGAGGGGGAGGGGAGAGAGATGACCTTTAGTAGAGGTGAAACACCCCAGAACAGAAGCTTGTGGGAAAAATAAAGGAGATTAAAAAAAAAAACATGAGGAGAGGGGTTTTTCCTTTGTAGAACCTGAGACTCTGGGGCTGGGGACTTTCCATCTCCTTAAATTTTTTTTCTAGGAAAGCTTTTTTGTAAATTAGAGGTCTTCCAACTTCCAGGAATTGGCTTTGCTCAGCTTTCTTAGGAAGTTGCTGTGACATCAAGGTTGGCAGAAGATTTTGGAGCTAAACCATACACCCCCAAATTCCAAAGGGACACTCAAAAGGTATAGAATTATATTCTATTGCCTTCTTTATGACTGCTTTATGTATGTGTGAATGGTTATTGGGATTTTTATTAGAATAAAAATTCTTCATACAAGAAGCTATATGGTTTATTAACATACTTGTCTCTGAGCTAACATTTCTCCAAAGGAATGTACAGTTTAACCTAGTATACTAGCCACACACACACACACACACACACACACACACACACACATACACCCCTCTCTGTTTTTTAAGAAAGTGGAATAATGTAGTCAGTAATGTGCTTGTGGAAGCTCTCAAGAGCTAATTGTTAGATTTTCAGTGGGAGCATTAGTGTTTACTTGATTGTCTAGGTTTAAGAAGGTGATGGAAAAATGTTAATAATGCAGATTAAACTTAAAAGTGAATCATGCATACTTTTTTTTTCTTTTTGGAGAGCCAATTGTTAAACATTTCCTAGCATTCCACTGGGTGCAGTGGCAAGAGTGCTAAACTTGAAGACAAGAAAAATCTGAGTTTCAATGTTATCTGGAACACTTAGTAGCTATGTGACAATGGACAAGCCATTTAGCCTAAGTTTCAGTTTCCTGATCTGTAAAATAGGGATAAAAAATACTTGTAATTTCTACTTCAGTGTATATACAAGCAGCTTTTATTAAAATGTCAGCTTTTATTAAGGAGAAATCTGTGTGTATTTGTTGGCAGAGGGAAGAGAGAGGGAGGTAGGGAAGGGAAGGAGGGAGAGAGAGAGACTGAGAGATCGAGAGGAGGAGGGGGAAAGAGAGGAGAAGGAGGGAGAGAGGGAGAGGGAAGGAGAAAGAAGGGGAGGAAGGGAAGGAGGGCAAAAGGGATTGAGAGGGGAGGAGGAGAGGGAGGAAGGGGAAGTGAGAAAGGGAGGGTGAAGGAAGGAGGGAGGGGGGAAAGAGAAACTGAAAGAGAGATTGAGAAGGGGAAGGGGAAAGAGGGGGAGGAAGGGAAGGAATGAAAGAGAGATTGAGAGGGGAAGAGGGGAAAGGGGGAGAAGAAAGGACAGAGAGAGGGGAGGAGGGAGAGAGGAGGAAGAGAGGGAAAGAGATATTGAGAGGGGAAGAGGAGAGGAGAGAGAAGGAGGGAAAATGAGGGAGGGAGTGGGGAAGGAGGGAGAGTGGTCTATTTGGTATAATCTTCCAAGAGTTTGGTAACAGTTGGGAAAGAGGCATGAGAGAATCATGACTTGGTGGGCAATTGGGAAGGCAATGAGAGCCCAGGGCACATCAGACTCACTTGAACAGGGTGGAACGGTTATGAGAGGAAAGAGTTTGCTCTGAGGGACGACCAGGAACCAGGACAGCAACATCAAGCAATCGACGGACAATCAACTGTGGCTGAAGGAGGTACTGGCACTCATCATGTAGACCCTGGGTAAACAAAGAAGGAACTGATATTCGTATTACAGAGACCCTGGAGGGGATTGGAGTGGGAACTGGGAGGTAGCATAAGATGGGGGAAATGTCTTTAGACTAGGAATCAGGAGATCTTCTTTTTAAGTCCTGACTCTGTCACTAACCAGCTGGTTGACCTAAGTAAAGTCATTTCCCTACTGGACCTTGGTTTTCCCACCTGCAAAGTGAAGAGGTTGGACTGGATGATTTCTGTGGTTCCTTTTGGCTCTAACATTCTACTATTTTATGAGGTGCTAACACTCATCATGGAGACCCCAGGGAAGGAGACCGAAGGGACAAGTTCTGACACTAGTTCTGAAGAAATCCTTGGGGTGGAGGGAGAGGGAGAGGGAGGAGGTATTAAAATATATCATTGAAACTATGAGAGATAAAGGGAAAACAGGCACTGGTACCATGTGAGGGCCTCTCAGTGTTCCCAGAACCTATCCAGTCCCATTTCCAATCAGAGACAGAGCTCACCTATAGTCCTCTCTTCTCTTGGTTATGATCAACACACATTGAGCCAGAACTCCTCATTTATTATATTGGTTTGGGCTCATTGTTCCAGAAAGTTGAGACCCTCATTTACTAACTGACCATCAAGAAAGAGAAGTTAGACATGTTGGGATAGGAAGCATCTGATCAATAAATCTATCTTTGAGGAATGGAGAACTTCTGGAAGTTACCAAATACTCAGTCCAGATACTGTAACAATTATAACTTTAATACTAGGAAATACCCTAAACCCCACTAGGGCAAATGGGCCCTAATTTTCATGTGGTTCAGTTCAATTCAATAAACATTTATTAAGCACTACCATTTATAAAGTACTACACTAGGTGCTGGGCAAACAAAAACAAAAAGGAAATGGTCTCTTCCCCCAGTGAGCTTACATGTTAAATAGAGGAATACAAACGTGCACACAGAGAAGTAAATATAAAGTAATGTGGGAAGGGAAAGAGTACCAATGGGGGGGGAGGGGAAGTGGTATCCAAAGGCACTAACAGAAGGGAGACCCTCACGCAGGAAAATGGCACCCAAGTACAGCCTCAAAGTAAGAAAAGGAAGCCGAGAGGCCAAGATGATGTAGGAATTCATTCCAGGCATTAAGGACAGCTTGTATGACTGCAGAAAAGTATGAGATGAGATGTCACATTCAAAGACATCCATTTTGGCTAGGATGTGTGTAAAGTAAAACACTGCTAGAAAAGTAGGTTGGAGCCAAATTATGAAAACTCTTAAATGCACCACTAAAGAGTTTGCAGTTTATCCTAGAGCTAATGGGAAGTCACCAAAGGTTTTCAGACAGGGGAGAGTGAGTCACATCTATGCATTAAGGGGATGATTTTGGCAACTCCATGAGAAATGGTATAATCTTTTGGTGGCCTTCCACCAGGAAGTTTAGAATGGCCAATGTCCTGTGTGTGTCCTTCTGAACTTTGGTTAATGGCATCACCATTCTCCCAGTCACCTAGATTAAAACCAAGGGGTCATTTTTAACTATTCCTATGCCTTCTTTCCACATATCTTCCTTTGCAATCTCTCCTTCCTTTCTGTCCCCACTACCACTGTTCTAGCTCAGTTCCTTATTAGCTCAAATTTGCATTATTGAAACAGTCAAATATCATATTCCCGCCTCCATCCTCTCCCCTCTCCAATTCATACTGAACAGCATAGCCAGATTAATGATTCCAAGCCCCACTTTGCTTGTGGCACTCCACTACTCTGCAACCTTCAAAGGCTCCCCATTGACTACAAAATTAAAGTCTGGTCTAACATTTGATCCCAAATCACAATTGATTCCAAATTATTTTTCCAGCCCTATCTACCATTATTTGGACTCTACACCTAGACAAACGGTATTCTTCATTATTTCGCAAACTCAGCTCAAGATTTCCTTTTTCCACACCTTAGCGCACGCTGTTCCTCTTGCCTAGAATGTCCTGCCTAACAGTTTCTACCAGATTAAATCCTATCCATCCTTTCAACATCCAGTTTAATTACCACATCCTCAATGAAGTCTTTCACAATCAACCCATCCTGAAGTAACCTCTCTTTCCTTTAAATTCTTATAGGTCTTGGTTTGTAGGATTCAGATAATGCTTATTACACCCCACTTAATACTGTGATTGTTCACCCATGGGTTAGAATGTCAATTATCTTGCAAGTTCCTTGAGTCAAGGAATATCTTTATAGCAATATACATTTATATCACGGCAGTTAGGTGGTGCAGTAGATAGAGCACCAGGCCTAGAGTCAGGAGGACCTGAGTCCAAATTTGACCTGAAACAATTACTAGCTGTGTGACCCTGGGCAAGTCCCTTAACCCTATTTGCTTCAGTTTCCTCATCTGCAAAATGAGCTGGAGAAGGAAATGGAAAAACACTCCAGTATCTTTGCTAAGAAGACCCCAAATGGGGTCGTAAAGAGTCAGATAATGACTGAACAACAACAAACAACATACAGGACAGCTAGGTGGTACAGTGGATAGAGCAATGGGCTTGGAATCATGAAGACTCATCTTCCTGAGTTCAAATCCAGCTTCAGACACTTAACAGTTGTGTAACTCTGGGCAAGTCACTCCACCCTGTTTGCTCAGTTCCTCATCTATAAAATGAGTCAGAGAAGGAAATGGCAAACTATTCCAGTATCTTTGCCAAGGAAAAAACCCCAGTGGGGTCATGAAGAGTCAGATATGACTGAACAACACCTTTATATCATCCCATATAGTATCTTATACTTAGGCACTCCAATATTTGTTGAATAAATGAATAAAGAGTCTCCCTGAGGAGATCCAAGTGCCCCCTCCTCTTTACTCTTGCTGGTTTTCTTAATGGCCCTATTTGAACAAATTCCATAGATCTTGATAGACCTATTCACATTGAGCTGATTCAAGAATCTACAATGACAAACCTAACTTCTCACTCTGCAAAGGGTTATGTTAAATCAACGAAAAATATAGTTTTCCCTCAATTCTCTCTCTCTCTGTCTCTCTCTCTCTCTCTCTATCTCTCTGTCTCTCTGTCTCTCTGTCACACACACACACACACACACACACACACACACACACTGCTTTAACTCCAAATACTGCATCTATACCAAGACAGTTCCTTATCCTGGCACTGACATCAACCAGAAATGGTATTGTTAACCTGTCAGACTGTCTGATGTCTTACCTCTCCTAGAATATAAAGAAACATGTAACATCTTGTAATGTAGGTGTCTGGGCTTAAATTCCATGATAAAGCCTACATGGCGTACCATACCAGCTACCAACTTCTAAGCAAGTAGGTATATCAAGGAAAGCTTTGATGATCAAGCAACACCTCAGCTGAGCCTCAAAGGAAGAGACTGAGATGAGAAGAGAGTACATTCCAGACATGGAGGAATTACAGAGGCAGGAGATGAAGTGTCTAGTTCGAGGAAGAGCTAGAAGAAGAAGGAGTTTGAGGAAGAAGAAGACGGAGAAAAGGAGAAGGAGGAGGAGGAGAAGGAGAAGGAGAAGGAGAAGGAGAAGAGGAGGAGAAGGAAAGGAGGATGGGAGGAGGAAGAAAAGAAGGAGGAGAAGGAGGAGGAACAAATTGGCTTATCTATTCTGTTCTTTTTTTTTAATAAAGTTTATCCAACCAGAGACAAAATTGAGTTATAAGTCCCGTCTCATGAAGTTTTGGTGATACCTATCAGGACAATTTTGCCTCTTTTCATTAATATCGATCTTAACATTCACCATCCTATTTGCTACTGGTACTTTGAATATTTGTATAAACACATCTAAGGATTTTGTTGTTGCCTCTTTATACTTCTCCATACTGTTTCCCATGAATTACTGGTCCTCTTTTGTTCTATTCCTTCTCTTATTGTACAAAAGAGATTAGGATCCAAAGATGTCCTGGAAGGTTGTTTTTCACTTTCCTGAAGTGTGACTTGGAGGTGACTTAAAAAGTCAGAATTAGTCCCATCCCACCACTAGGTGGCAGGATGGGTGCCTCTTTGTGCTCAGAGATCGATGGTTGTTCTCAGTGTGTGCAGAGAGGAATGAAACAAAACAGAGACATGAAATGGAAGACACCATTTTTTGGTCAAAACTAGAAGTATCCTGGAGGAGCATGCCAAAACAGGGACAACCAGAAGAGAGATGTCAAATGGGCGGCTCTAAGTGAGCAAGTAGTCAGGAGATAGACCAAGATAACTCTTCCCTCTGCTCAAGCTAGATGGCACAGTGCGAAGATGACTATGCCTGGACCCAGAAAGACCTGAGTTCAAATCCAGCTTCTGACACTCACTAGCTACATAATCCTATTTACTCAGTTTCCTCCACTACACAAAATGGGGATAATAATAGCATCTACTTCTCAGGGTTGACCTCTATTTGAAACCCTACAGAAATGCATGAATTTAATAACATCACTCCCTCAATTGAAAACTTTCATGGGTTTTTGTTAAACCTCATGGCTTACCAAATAAAAATGCATATTCTTTAGATTGTCATTCAAGGCCCTTCACAATCTAGCTACAAATTACCTTTCCCCCCTTATTTTACAGTAGTCCCTGCACGCACTCTACAATTCAAACAAATTACCCTACTCTTTCTTTCACTTCATCCTCCTCTCATTGTTGAGCATTTGCATATGATACCACCTATGTCAAGAATAGTTCCCCCTACATCTCTACCTTTTGAAGTCCTTTTCCTTCAAGGTCCACTTTAGGCATCACTTCTATAAAGCCAGATTTCTAGATTCTCCCAGCTAAAAATGATACTTTCCTCCTTAAATTTCTCAGGCCACTCTGACCTCTCCTATACCCTTAGTTATATGTGTGTATGTGACATTTTAAAAGTTCAAGAGGCATAGTTTTATTTTATTAACAATGCTAGCATTTTATTAATAAAAGGGTCAGTGACACTCTCGAATGCCAAAGACTAACTTCTTGAAGGTTTACATGCCCTTAGACGGGTGGATGTTCCTGAGGGTGGCAATTAACTCTGATTGGTTGACAAGAAATGAGAGAATAAATATTATAATGAGAGGTGGACCTATCCCAGTGAGGGTCTTGGAATATGCAACCTTGAGCATCCAAATCTTGGTCAAAAAGACTTATCAAGTTCCATATTACCCATCTGACAAAAGAATTTCTTTATTGTCTTTGATTAAGTCTTGAGGAAGTAGAAAAGGGAGAAGACCTCGGTCCTAATTCGATAATCAGTCATTAAATACAAGAGAAAAATAATCATTTCTCTCAGCTATTTATGTACATATTCCCCTACTGGATTGTAAATCCCTTGAGGACAGAGGCTGGATCATTTTCCATCACTGAAACTTTGGTACATTGTACAGAATGGACAAAGGAATAAGCAAAGGATCTATGATTTCATCAACTGGGCAAATCCATCCAAAAACACAAGACACCCCCCACACACACCTATCTATGCCTGAGAGCTGTCTTAGAGAACTTCCTGAATTACTCTTACAGAAAGAATAAGTGACCTACCCAGGGTCATACAGCTATCAATTATCAAAAGCTATTTATAAGCTTAGGTCTTCCTGACTTCAAGTCTAGATCTCCACCTACTATGCCACACTGCCTCAAATTTATACATAGTAAATGCTTCATAAATGTTTATTGGCTTGGATTTGACTGAATTGAATCAAATTGAAATGATGAAGAACCAAAGGAAAGACAAAATCAAAATGTCAGAAGGCTAGCTCAGTCACTAGAGCTTGGGACAGTCATGGAAAAGAGCTCACTACACACAGTGTGTGCTTTAGCATGATATTTTGTAAGTGTGCCAGAGCATGGTGGCCACGACCCTTCTTGCTCCTTAAAGTGATCAGCTTGTCAGGACAGACATTTTCTCCCCTCCTGTTCCTAAAATGCATTGAGATTGGGTTTGGTATGGGTACCACTGACAAACTCTCTTCTATCTATTAGTTAATAACCTTAAGCAAGGACCCCTAACTTCTCTTAGCCTTGGTTGCTTCATTTATAAAATGGGGGTCATACTTGTCCTACCTGTATTATGAGGACCAAATGTGATCATATATGTGAAGTGCTTTGTAAAACATTACAAGTTACTACTGTCATTATTTTACCTTGACATTATTTTATTTATAACAACAAATATAAATAATAATAAATGTAACAAAAATAATCTTATCAGTGCCAAAATGTTCAAATTCCCTATAGGTCATCAAGTTCAGTTTTTTGGACCACAGACCGGACAGCTAAGGAAGCAATGGGGACTCTGGATCCCATTGACTTAGACCTAAGTTACCTGCCTAATATCCCTAGTTCACTTCTCTAGGCTTGACTTCTGACTTGTTTCTTTCAGAATCCAACCACTATTGGGATGAGGGTGGGAGAGCATGAGAAGGCAGGGGTCTAGGATAATGGAACTAGGACTGGTTTTCTGACACAGCACTCAACCAAGAAGTAGCATGGAGAAAGGGCCTGACCCACCTTGACAGAGATCCGTCCATGGGCCTGGGGAAGGTGAGCAGCCAGGAACCAGTCCCCAGGCAAGGGGCTGCTGACATTGAAGATTCCTGAGGTTCGGTTGGGCAACGTCCAACTGAGAGTCAATGAGAAGACCCCTGGCACCACTGTGTCCGGTGGAAAGTGTGTATTCAGAGGGTTTATTACAGGAGGTGCCCCTGAGCGGAAATACCTGGGAAAGACATGAAATGAAAGACCAGGGATAGGAAATGGGCGAAGAAAATGAGACGGAGAAGGCAGAAAATGGGCAAACAAACAGGAAGTGGGGTAAAAAAATAAAAACAGGGAAAGAGATAATATCCAAGTCAAAGAAAATAAACTCCAACTGTGCATTGCATACCCAACCACCACCATTAGATGTTGTTGTTGTTTGTCCTTCGTTCTTGAAGAGGACCATAACATCGGGAATGAGCTGGAAAAGGAAATGGCAAACCACTCCAATATCTTTGCCAAGAAAATCCCAGATAGGGTGACAAAGAGTCGACACAATTCAACAACCACCATGAGTAGACTTCACATGGACTACATACCCCCCAAATCAAGGATTGGGAAGGTGGTCAGAAATCAGGGGATCTGAGGATGGGATTAGGTTGTCTGTCCACTGTCAGGGTGCAAGGTCAAAGGATCAGGCTATCAGGGGTCCAGAGTTAAGATGGGCAGTGAAAAGTCAAGAATGAGAAATCTGACTATACAGCTTACCCCTAACCCTTGCTAGGAATTATTATATGCTTTTCAACTTTTAAAATGTCTTGAGTATAATTAAGGAACCTCAGGAAGGCCCCTCCCCTGAGGATCCCTAAGCAGTGAGTCATCAGTGTGATGCTAGGAAAGTGAGTGGAGCTGGAAACCTGACTCAGGAGGGATCATTCATTCAGTTCAGTCATTTCAGCTCTGCAAATGAGCTGGGAGCTGGCAGCACTCTGCAGACAGGAAGCAGGAACCCTGTGGGTGGTCTCGTGGGGGTGGACAAGCTTTCAAACAAGAAGAGACAGAGAGTCTGCTTCTGACTGCTAAAGAGCTGTAGTGATTAAGAGAGATACCAGGTAACACTGTGGTGCCCACGGCTAAGGCAACATGGCCACTAGGTAGCCTGAGTCAAAATCATAGGATCATAGGTTTAGAGCAGGAAGGGACCTCAGAAGACGTTATTTTACAGATGAGGAAACTGAGGCCCAAAGAGTTTAAGTGATTTGTTCAATATCAAAAAGGTAGTGTCAGAGGAGGGATACTAGCTTAGAAGATGAGATGAAGCCAAGCTTCACCAAAGGGTAGCACCAGCTCTAACAACCAGCTGGTGACCATGCTTCAGTCAAATCAAACAGGACAGTGAGAAAGGGGGCCAGACAAGAATAGGACTCCCAGGAACCCAGAGCCATAATGATCTTCCCTCAGTCGAATGTGGAATCCTTAAAGGCAGGAACTGTTTTGGGTTTGTTTGGTTTTTTTTGTTTTGTTTTGTTTTGTTTTTTCATCTTCATATACCCAGAACCTAGTACAGTACTTGGCACATGTCATGTATTTAATAAATGATTGTTGAATCAATGAATGAATAAGACAATATTTATTAAGCACTTATTTTTGCCAAGCACTATGCTAAGCCCTGAAGATATAAATGCAACAATAAAGATAGCCTCTGTCTTCGAGCAGCTTACCTTCTGATAGAGGGAGAAATCATATGAAAGGGAGAGGTAGCCAAGAAGGAATATTTTGGTTTGGAAAATTACTGGGCAGAAAATGGATAGAAAGTTAGCCTCAGAGCCAGGAAGGCCTAGGTTCAAGTTCCATTCTAACATAGACTGGCTCTGTGACCCTAGGCAAGCGAGTTAACCTCTCAGTGCTCTAAAAGAGTTGAAGAGATGGTACTACCTACACTGATAGAGGGAGTTTCTTTGATGAAATCACACATACAATCCCTAGTCCTAAATCACAGGGATAGCCAGAGTGGATTGACATAGCCTTTCAAGGAACACTGAAAAAGTTGGTTTGATTATGGTTCAGGAACAAAATAGCATTGTGGAAGAGGGTGATGTAGGCAGGCCATTTGATGAGGAGAGGTGAATGGAGCCTGGGCCCAGATAAGGCAAGTGACTGAGGCCCCCACCAATCAGAACAGAAGGAGAAGTGGGGAGCAGCTTGCAGGAGTTCCAGGCAGGAAAGGAAAGAGTTAAGTCCTCCAATGAACAGATGAATGGATGGACTAGGACAAAGGAGATATCTGCAAGGTCAGTGGAGGATATGTTGAAGCCCAGGACAAGACTCTTTGGAGCCATGTAAAGAGACTAGGGCAGAACCCACAGAAACCAAGGGCAGCTGCTAATCAGAAGGACAGTAACCCAGGCAGAGAGGGAATGGTTTTTAAGACGAGGAAGTATGTTCTTGGAGGGACTGAGGGCCCCACTTGATCTGGATGTGCTGCCAACCCAAATCTATCTCAGGCTAGAAGGAGAGGCTCTTTGTTTAGCTTCCAGACCAATTCAGAAACAAATACTCAGTAAAGCTTTTCCTTGGCTAGACCTCTGCCTTTGAGGCTAAGAGTGGTACAAGGTCATCCAAGGGTTTCTTATCCCCCCATGGAGGGAATACAAGTGACTCACAGGTAACTCTTTGTACTTTAAATGGCCTTATTTTCTTGACAAAAATCAACTTTTAAAATTTTTGGAGTTGTTTTGGGATTGGTCAGGAGAAGAGTTTCCCCCACTTCAATTACTCTAAAGAGAGGCTCATTGTGTCCCATGGTTGATTGAACCTACATGGACGTAGGGTCAATGAAAAGACCACCAGATTTAGAGGCAGAGAACCCAGGTTTGAATTCTAGCTCTGTGAGTTCTTACCCACCTGACCCTGGACAAGTTTGTTTAATTTCTCTGGGCCTCAGTTTCTTCATCTGTCAAAAAAAAAAGAATTGGACTAGATAACTTCTAAAGTCCCTTCTGGCTCTAAATCTATAATCTCATGGCAATCACTACACTAGCCCTAGAGGGAGAGAAGCTGGGGGCCAAGAGAAAAGGGAACAAGGAAGGATAGTACTGGGGGCAGCTGTAGATGCCAGAGCAATTCAATTTAAGGAAAAGTTTTCTAACCTTAAAAGCTGTCCAAAAATAGAATGGGTTGCCCTGGGAGGGGTGGATTCCCCATTCCTGGATGACTCCAAGTGAAAGCAGGATGAACACTTGTGGGGGTATTATAGAAGAGATTCTTTCACAGGTATGAGTTGAGCTAGATGGCCTCTCAGGTAAGCAGGTATTATCAGCCCCATTTTACATATGAGGAAGCTCAGGATCAGAGAATTAAAAAGGATTTCTCTAAGGCCATACAGCTTAGAAATATCAGGACAGGGATCTTCTCCTAGCTTCAAGCCTACCATTTTATACCACCATTATGACACCTTTCAACTCTGGGAATCCCTAACAACCTTCAGTTAAAAGTCGTTACAGATACCAAGTTCTCCATGTATATGCACTAGATTAGGGAGGAATGAGGGTGGAAAGACCTGGGCACAGCCAAAACAGACATGCAAGCAGATCTGTAGCACACCAAGAGACTCCAGAAGAAACTCTACCTATCCCATTTCATTCCTAAGGCTGGTGCAATAAGAATATCTGGGTTGGACTGAAGATGACAGGTTATATAGAATGAGTCAAAATAGTCCAGGTAGGGATCCACAGGAGTTGTTTGATGGGGAAGATGTGACAAGAAATGCTGGGGTGTGCTAGTGATTACCACTCAATCATATGGCCTGAAGAATAAGACTGGAGTATAGATATGATGACAGATGGTAATTACAGGGCTTCCATCATTCAATTAGTCAGATTACCACAAGTCAAAGCCTAGAAAGGTGGAATTGGACAGTCTTAGTTAAGAAGAAGGTGAGGCCATTTCTGATCTAAATGAGAATGTCATTCAAGCAGATGATCACACACTAGTCTAGCAGATCTTGGAAGATGTTCTTTATAAACCACTGGAAGACCACCAGCACATTGCACAATCTGAATGCCATTATGGTGTGCTCATATTGCTCACTCAGAATATGGAATATTCAGATTTTCCTTCTGTTAGATCAAATTGTGTGCCTCCCCCTCCCCCACCACAATTCAATTTAGTATAAATCACAGTCCTCAGAGATGGTCTTAACTGCATGGGTGTGACAAAAAGAATACCAAACAAGATAATGATCTGGTTGAGAGCCCTGTCAGCATTGGAGTCATTTTTCTTTCTCAAGAAGACCTGTGGTTCTGGTACAGGAGGTAGATGGAGAGATGAATCTAAGCTCGTGGAGGATTAACCTTAATTAATTCCCAGACTGGTCTGTTTCAGAAAGGAAATAAATTTTTCCTACCAAGATTTCAGTGCCAAGCATTGGCTCAGTGGCATAGGGCAAAGAAGACTCCATTTGCACATGTCCTCAAATTCACAGTAGACTACTAATAATAGCTGTGGCATGTATATAGCACTGAAAGGTTTATGAAACATGTCATATACATTATCTCATTTAACCTTCACAACAACCTTGCAATGTAAGTAAGCAGGTATTATGTGCCCCATTTTAGTATGAGAAAGCTTGGGCTCAGAGAGGTAAAAATGATTTCTCTAAGGTCATACAGGTAAGAAATGTCACAAGTGGGATTTTCTCATGGCTCCAAGCCAGCATTTTTTCCATTATACCATACCAAATGCCTAGACCATGTGGGCTGATTCTCCCATATAGAGTAGAGCCGTCTCCTGCCCCGGTATATATCAAGCAATACTAGTAAAAATACCCAGGAGTGAACATTAGCTTATTTATCCCAGATGATGACCAGGTCATATTGTTTTTAGCCAACAGACTTATCAGGAAGGGTAGATTGGGTTATATCCAAGATAATCTGCCCTTTCTGTGTTTATCAGTATTCATGCACAGAGCCTAGTTCTCAAAAAATCATTGGGTCAGAAACCAAGGAGACGACCCTAAGGGGACCGCAGAATTGGTCTTAGACAGGGATGGAATGCTCTTCATGAAGTCTTGGTCAACAGAGTTTCCCAAAAGCCCAAAGGAACAAGAGAAGATGGGGTAGAGAGAGAATCAGAGATCCAGGTTTTGTCTAAGAGTCCTCTAGGGAAGGCTGGCTGGTATTTCACAGCACAAAGTGGAGGGTTTTCCTCTAGATGGTGATTGGGTACTTAGCTCATTCATTCACAATGGAGACACAAATTTAACATCATAGAATAGCTTATCTTTTTCGCCTGGAGAAAGCCAGGTGTGGAATTCTCCATTCTTCTGCCCTTACTTGGAAATCTTAAGATAAGCTAATGGGGGGTTGTTCAGGATGTTGTCTTTCAATGTAGGGCTCCAAGTTGAAAACCCAGTCAGACCTTGATGCAGAAGCTCTGATGGATCTAGAGAGGCAGAATTATGGCCACTTTCCCCCCAAGCATATTCATCCCAGACTGGCTCACTAGTGCCTGCCAGGAACTGGTCCTCATTATTCCAGTCCAAGTCCTGAGCCACAGGTCTGAAGGAACTTGCATAGCCTATGATTAAATCATAACAAGGCACAGTGAGTAAAGGGTTCATCTTGAAGTCATAATATCCTACCTCTGACAAAATGTAAATAACTCTAGGCAAATTATACAACCTCTTAAAACCTCAGTCTTCTCATCCATAAAATTTGGGGATTAGACTAGATGGCCCGTAAGGTATCTTTTAGCTCTAAAACTATGGTCCTCTAAACTCTCAGCCTCTTTCATTGCCAGGTCTTCAAATACTAGCTGCACCTTGATGATGAAATCCTCAAAAGAACTGTGTAGGAGACTCATAGGTTCAGAACTAGAAGGACCTCAGAGGTCATCTTGTCCAACCCTCTCATTTTATTAACGGGGCCCTGGACAATTAAGCAGCACATCTTCACATGGGTAGCAAGTAGATGGGCCGAGATTCAAGCCCAGGTCCACCGACTTCAAAGCCAAGGTTCTTTCTATGGCATGATGCTGGTGTTCTCAACTACATGGGAATAGCCCAAGGGCTGGAACATCCAGTCAGAATATGATACCTTCATGTGATCTTTGGAGAACTGAGTAAGACTCAGGTAAGAGGACTGGGGTCAAGGAGCTTTCTAGTGCTTCCAAAGTACCACTTCTCCACTCTAGTTTGACTGATGTAGCACCAAATCATGGGTGTGAGGAGTTGAATGTGTTCTGCCTGGAATGGGGGCCTAGAGCTAACCTGGTTCTTCTCAGATAGCTGGAAGTGCCATCCCTGAAGTGTTGCATTTCCTTCCCTTTTAGCAGCTGAAAGATAGCCTTTGACTTTTAATTCCACAGCTCTAAGTGGTAGGCAGATAGCTCAGATAGAGAGAGAGAGATGATAGATACACATACATATCTCTCTCTATATATATATATGTATGTATGTATGTATATATATATATATATATATATATATATACATGTACACACATATATATACACAAAAACACACACACTTCCCAGAATGAGTCAATTTGGCTGAACCCAATCCCTGGGAACAATCACCAGCAGAGATTCAGAACTCAAAGTCAACAAGCAAATGGTAGTGATTGATATGCAGCAATACAGCTAAGAGCTTATGGCAGGGTACAGGTGTGAGCAACAGTTGGTATCTGTAAGACAAAGGCAGATAATTTTTCAGGCTGAGATATAGTTGGAGGCTGAAGCCAAGAGGTACTCAGCCAAGTTGGAGGAGGCAGGGCAAGTCTGGAAAGAAACAGAGCCAAGTTTCTAGCCAAAACAGGTAAAATGAGCAGATGATGAGAAGAAAACAAAGGCATGTCAACAGACCAGCTCAGGATCAAACAAGACAGAGGTACTGGTAATAAGGCAAGTGACATGCTTTGACTTCCTCACCCTAGGAGTCCTCTAAGTCAGCTGGCAAAAAGACATGTTTGAGTAGGCAGAGAGCCCTAAAGAGGATAAAAAGATATCACCTCATCTCAAGTTCCACTTTCGTTTGGAACAGACAAGAGGAAACTCTCCAAGGAGAGCAAGTTTGTACTGAGTCTCCCCATTAAGCACAGCTTAAAAAATGTAGCTCCCCCATCTTCTGTATGTACCCAACCCTAGCAAGGGCAATCTATGCAGATCTTAAAGGGATGTTGCCTCCAATGGAGTATGAGTGCATTGGAAAGAGCCAAGAGTCAAGACCTAGATTCATGCCCTGGCTTTACCATGTATTTACTATATGAACTTGAGAAAAACACCTTATCTCCCTGAGCTTCAGTCTCTTAATACACACAAAAAAGATAATAATATTCATACCATATAAATTATGAGTTGTGATGATCAAATGAGATAATGGATTACAATACTTTTAAAAGCATAAATATTAATTATTATATAATAATATTAATAACAACAACAACGACTAATAATTATGTGGCTGTCTTACCCCCAAGAGTCCTTTAAGTGAGAAGGCAAGGGGAACTCCTTAGAGCAGATAGCTCTATGGACCAAGAGATGTAACCCTAACCCCAAGTTCTTGAGGTCTCTTTTGCCTGACATCTATTGCTATAGGACCTTGGGTAGGACAGGGAACCTGGGTCCTGATGTATGAGATCACTAGGTCTCATTTTATAAAAGAGGATTAGATTCCCAGAATGGGGGGCAGGGGCTCAGTATATCAGGGATGTGAGATCAGGACATCAGGTCTGGGATATCATTTGATCGAGGGAGAGGGCTTGGAATGGAAGATTAGGCTCTTAAGGGTTTGGAGTGAGAGATCATCAGGCTGTTAGTGTCTATGGACTGGCAGTGGGGGATGAGAGTTCAGGAAATGGAGGAGGAGCCAGGTTGTAAGCTTGGGGATCCAAATATCAGGGGGTAGGAGACGAGAATGAGAGGTCACACTATCAGAGAGTGGTTGAAAGTCAAAAGCTGAAGACCAAGTTTACTCACACAGTCACACTTTGGTCTGGGCAATGGTCCCCAAAGGTGCCCCCCTGCTCCTTGAAGATGATGAGGTTCCAGACAGCCAGGACCGTGTCCTCAGGGACATGGAAGTGGAACAGCTCAGTGCTGGCAAAGGAGCGGAAAGGACTCAGCTTTCGGGGTGAGCAGGTGGAGTAATCAGTCAGGAAGAGGCCCCCTGGGGGGAGATTAAGGGGTGGGGGGGGAGAGAGAGACAGAGAGAGACAGAGAGAGACAGAGAGAGACAGAGAGAGACAGAGAGAGAGAGAGAGAGAGAGACAGAGAGACAGAGAGAGAGAGAATGTGTAACATCTCAAATGATAAACACTCAAGCCCACTATGGTGACTTCCAATAGGCTCTCCCCACCCCCAAGAAAGAGAGAGAGAAATGAAAGTTGGAGGAAACTCTGGCTCCCAGGTCTACACACAATGATCCCCTAAATCATCCACAGTGACCTAAATCAGCTCTCTGGAAACAGGTTGCAAGCCCTAAAATCTCCATAGTTACCCCAACATCTCAGAAGTAACCACAGTGAACCCCTTAACAAGAAGACAAAGGACAAGATCAAGGACTAGAAGATGCCATAGCAGTTATTTCCCAAATCCCCACATAGTAACCAAAATAGACCTTCACCCCATCCCAGTCATATGCTAGTAGTAGCTGTACCCTCTAGGGACCTCTAACAATAATTCCAAAAGGCTACCTGGGGAAAATAGGAGGGGGGAGGAGGGAGGAAGATCAGGAGGAAGGGAGGAAAGGAGGGGGGAGGGAGAGAGAGGGAGGAAAAGAGAGAGGGAGAAGGGGGAGAGATGGAGAGAAAGTGAGAGGGAGGGGAGGGAGGAAGGGGGAGAGAGGGAGAGAAAGGGAGAGGAAGGAAGAAGGGAGGGAGAGAGGGAGGA